TAAGATTTTGAGTTCTAAATTTTCTCCTCCTCCCTCTCCTCCCCCTGCCCCAAGACAGCATACAATCTGATGTAGGTTCTACATATACATTTATAATGAACATATTTTCACATTAGTCATGCTGTAAAGAGGGATTAGAAATATAATGTCAGTGAGAGGAACCATGAGAAAGAAGAAACAAACAAAAAAAAGAGAGAGAGAGAGAGCAGATAGTATGCTTTGGTCTTCATTTTGACTCCATAGTTCTTTTTCTGAATGTGGATAGCATTTTCCATCATGAGTGTTTTGGAGCTGTCTTAAATCCTTACATTACTGAGAAGAACTAGGTCTATCAAAGTTAGTCATCACACAATGTGGCTGTTACTGTGTACAATGTTCTCCTGGTTCTGCTCACTTCACTCAGCATCAGTTCATACAAGTCTTCCCAGGTTTTTCTGAAGTCTGCCTGTTCATCATTTCTTTATTTTGTTTAATTTTTTTTTTTTGGCTATACATTTACATTCCTATTAAGCATATTTTCACATTAGTGATGTTGTAAGTAAAAATTAAAACCAATAGAAGGAACCATCAGAAAGAGGAAACAAAACTCAACCAAAGAGAAAAAAAAAGATAGCAATTCAACTTCTGTAGTTCTTTCTTTGGATGTGGACAGAATTTTTCCATCATGAGGCCTCTGGAGATGTCTTAGATCCTTGATTCACTGAGAAGGGTTCAGTTCAACAATCTTAGTCATTGCATAACGTGGCTGTTATTGTGTACAATGTTCTCTTGGTTCTGCTCACTTCACTCAGCATCAGACCATATAAGTCTTTCCAGGTTTCTCTGAAGTCAGCCTGTTCATCATTTCTTATAGCACAATAGTATTCCATTATATTCATATACCCCAACTTGCTCAACCATTCCCCAATTGATGGGCATCCTCTCAATTTCCAATTCTTTGCCACCACAAAAAGAGCTGCTATGAATATTTTTGTACATGTGGGTCCTTTTCCCATTTGTTTGATCTCTTTGGGATATAGCCCTAGAAGTGCTATTGTTAGATCAAAGGGTATACACATTTTTATAGCCCTTTGGGCATAGTTCCAAATTGTTCTCCAGAATGGTTGGATCATTTCACAACTCCACCAACAATGCTTTAGTGTTCCAGTTTTCCCACATCTTCTCCAACATTTATCATTTTCCTGTTTTGCCATGTTGGCCAATCTGATAGGTGTGATGTGGTACCTCAGAGTTGTTTTGATTTGCATTTCTTTAATCAATAATGATTTAGAGCATTTTTTTTAATATGACTATAGATGGCTTTAATTTATTCATCTGAGAAATGACTGTTCATATCTTTTGACCATTTACCAACTGGGGAATGGCTTGTATTCTTATAAATTTGTCTTAATTCTCTATGTATTTTAGAAATGAGGCCTTTATCAGAGAGACTGGTTGTAAAAATTCTTTCCCTGTTTTCTACTTTCTTTCTAATCTTAGTTTCATTGGCTTTGTTTGTGCAAAAACTTTTCAATTTAATGTAATCAAAATGATCCATTTTGCATTTCATAATGTTCTCTATCTCCTGTTTGGTCATGAATTCTACTGTTCTCCATAGATCTGATAAGTAAATTATTCCTCGCTCTCCCAGTTTGTTTATAGTATCAGCTTTTATATCTAAATCATTAACCCATTTTGACTTTATTTTGGTATATGGTGTGAGATTTTGGTCTATACCTAGTTTCTGCCATACTCTTTTCCAGTTTTCCTAGAAGTGTTTTTCAGAGTGGGTTCTTATCCCAGAAGCCTACTCATCATTTCTTATGGAACAATAGTATTCCATTACATTCAAATACCACAATGTGTTTATCCATTCCCCAATTGATGGGTATGCCCTCATTTTCCAATTCTTTGCCACCAGAAAAAAGAGCTGCTATAAATATTTTTGTACATGTGGATCCTTTTTTCCTTTTTTTATGACCTCTTTGTGATACACATCTGGTAGTGGTATTGCTAGGTCAAAGGTATGCACAGTTTTATAGCCCTTTGGGCATACTTAATGGAAGGTATTCTGAAGGATATCTACTTTGTAGTTACACATAGGCAATTTTTTCCCTCCCTCATCCTTTTTAAGTTAAGCTCTTTTTAATTATTGTACAAGAATTGATACTGAGACTAGATAGGGATTGGACTTGTCCTTTCATTGGTATGGGGAACTTGCAAGTGGGTTAGCATATTCCCTATAACTTACAGTCTTAGACAGTTGCCTGGGATATTGACAACTTAAGGAAATTGTTCAGTTACTCCACCTTTATTTATCAGAGCCAGATTTTCAACTGAAATCCTTCTAGCTTTGAATTTGGCTTTCTAGTAATACTACTTCACAATGTCTTTCAGATTTCCAAGACACCAGATAGATACCAGTCTTTGTTAGGTGCACTCCAACATTTGCTAGGAGTCTATAATTGCTATTTTTGATGATATGGTCCACAAATCTAAATTGTATTTTCACAAGCCACCTTCTTAGCATCTACTCACTTCTCAAATCAATTTTTTGTCTTCTCCATCCCTTGTGATGCAACCCCATTCAAAGAAATGAAATAGCAACTGCCACTCTTCTTCCACCAGCCCTTCTAGAAGCCCACTCCAAGGCTTCCACTGCCAATTAACTGCCACTGCTAGGTCAGACAAGCTAGCCTAGATGAACTATAGAGAAAGAGAGAAGTGGCATGTACTGGGTATTGGGGAAGTCAAACCTCCACCACCACTTTCCCTTAGGCATTGGTTGAGGCAGCTCTGGACTCTACAATACAAAAGCACCTCAGGTCACTGGCCCTAGCAGTCATCATTTAGAGAAGTATACTTTCTGGAGATGTGACCTGGTAACCTGCCTCTGTATATGCTGTCACCTCTGTCTTCCCAGCTGCCATAACTACTGAAGACTCAGAAAAGTTTTCATCACTAAAATCCTTGGCATTATCAAATAACTCAATATCAAAAATGGATATGATTTTTATCAATTATTAACTTAACTAATAATTAACTACTGGACTGTAAGCTCCTTGAGGCTAGGGACTGTCTTTTCTTATTTGTGTCCCCAGGGCTTAGTAAGAGGTGCTTAATAAATGTTTATTGTATTGCATTCATGGAAATGACACTAAAGAATATTCATTATTACTTTATCCTAAGACCATGATGTCTTCCTTTGGACTTGAAGCTGGAAGCACTTGATAATTACTTTTTCATTCATCCATTCCTTCACTCCTAAGCTCATACTCAGTCTTTCCAGTTTGGTAGAACCAATCAGAGCTTGTGCATTTTTCCCACGGTCTTTGACTTAAGGGTCATATCTGTGAGAAGGCATTAAAGTAAGACAATAGAGAAAGAACAGAATAATTGCATATGGAAATTGTTCTAGCTGATTTTGAATGATAGACATTGTAATTTAATGAAACTGTGGACCCTTTCTTAAGTTAATGGACAATTTTTTCCAGTGCCTCAAGAGTGTTGATCTAGATGGATAGATTTTAAAGTATGTGTTCATGGACCCCTAGGGGCCCTCAAGACTTTTTTTAAGGGGTCCACAACATCAAAACTATTCTAATAACAATAATACTAAGATGTTACTTGCTTATTAAAATATTCTTCCTCTTTCTAACTACATATCTGTGTGAGGCCAGATTTTCTTCATGTACTTCAACTAAAATAATATATTGTAATAGACTGAATGGTAAAAGAACCATATATGAGAATCCAGCTGTCTTCTATTAAATTAGACATTAAAGAGATTTCCATAAAAGTTATTTTTCATTAAAAATATGTTTATAGCAACATGTACTAGGTTTATGATTGTCATTTAAAATGATCAACACTTAAAAAATTTAAATTTGTCAGTTTTAATTTCTAATGCAGAAAATATTGATAGATATAATGCATAAACAAAAATTCTTTGAGACCCTGAATAATTTTTAAGAATATAAAGAATTTCTGAGACCAAAAAGTTTGAGAACTGCCACACTAATTCACTCCCCTTTTTGGAAGAACCCCTTTCTTTCCATCTCTCCATGATCAAATGCCCAGAAAAAGTCAGATTTCTGACACTGCTCCAGCACCAGGTCATTATTCCTTACTCTGAACTCTTTCTAAAGCAACCACTCATTTGGTACTTAGCATCCTTCTGAAACTTTTGAGTTATGTGAGTATTATTGGGAAAATAAGGATAATAATTTCTACTTATTTAACTGAAAGCATTATTGTGAAGATAAAATGATACGCTTTGCAAACTTTAACATGCTATATAAGTGACAGTTATTATCATTGCTATGCTGTGGCAATATGGCATAGCAGATAGACAGCTGTCCTCAAAGCTAGGAAAACCTAGTTTCAGTCCTGCCTCTCACATACTGGTTGTGTGTTAGTGAGAGTTACTTAATTTCTGATCAACTCAATTTCCTTATCCATAAAGTGTTAATGATAATAGCAGCTACCTCCCAGGTTTGTCACGAGGATCAAATGAGATAAAATTGTAAAGCATTTTATATAAATTTTATATAAATGCTAGCTATTATTATCATATCCCTGATTATTACTATTATGCACATGACATCTCCCTAACTAGAGTGTAAACTCTCATTGGCAGGAACTGTGTCTGATTGTCTTTGTAATAATATACAGCATTTAAATAGCACTTTAAGATTTTCAAAGCACTTTAATGTGTTGTTTCGACTTGATTTGCATCCTCAGTCCCTGGTGAAGGGAATTCAGGAAATATTTATTGTTGTTACTAATGATGATGAAGAGAGTTATAATACTATGACCAGTGTTTATATTTATGCCTGTTTCATATTTTGCTGCTGTATTATCTTCACTTGCAGAATGAATAAATTGTATTAGATACTTATGACTCAGATACCTATATTGAAAAAAAACCTCAGTCATGTAAGAAAAATGTATATTCATCCTTCAGTACTATTAAGATTACAGTCTAACATTATTGATTTTTTTTCTCCTTTATTTTGTAGCTTTCTCTCGACCTCTATCACACAGAAGACGATATTTACAAACTCTCATTGGTGCTGGAGCCCAGGAATTCTAAATCGGTAAGGATATTTTTAAAAGGAGGGAATAGTGCAAAATAGTGTTCTTCACTTGGTGTTGTTGGTCATTAAAATGGTGCTTTGAGATCTGAAGAGCTAAGAATTTGATTTTTTCCCAAATAGAGATCATATTTATTTAACTACTATCTACCTAACATTTACCTCCATTTTACTTTTTGGAAAACATGAACACAAACAACTTAAAGTATAAGTTCTTTGTTATTCTACTTTATACAGTGCCTATATTTGTGATGCCTTTTATTATCAGACAATAACCTTAGATTTTTTTTTATCGCAAATACTTGGACATTGAGTTCCTAGTTCTGTTAGTTGTGTATTAGTAACAGTAATTGAAACAGGCCATTTACCTCTCTTGTCTTTCATTTCATCCTCTTTAAAATGTGGGCGTGTTGGGAGGTAAGCCTGGGGAGGGGACTGAAATAGTCATCTGGGGCACCTTCTGGCTCTAAATCTTGTGAAATCACATGAATGGGATGCCAGAAAAGGACTAAAAACTGTAATTCCTTAGTGTTAAACTTCTTAATTGTTTATGAGAATAGGCAACATGTCCTCAGGGGACAGGGGTATTTCTTTCAAATAGTAGGGGATTTTTAAATTCTCAGAATAAAACTAGATTGTTTTCCTTTTGAGTGACCATTGATTATAGTTCCCAAATTTCTGTAATAGTGACTTTGTCTCAGCTCAACAATCTGAACAGGGCATAGATAGTTCTTCCTTAATTTGCTTCACTGAATTTTGAGTACTTGTGAATAAGTAGTATATAATATAATTAAGGATATCACATCACAGAATGGACATTAGTGGTTTTACCAATTAAACTCACATTTAAATATCTCTGGTGATATGCAAATAAAGGCTCTTACCAATGTAAGAGAGACACTGGGGATGAAGTTTAGAGAAAGAAAGGAAAACCTAGCTTTTGCTCTATAGAGGCACAATTTGCCCATTCTTTCTCTAAATATGTTTCTGCACTTGCTAATTGTACCTTCTACATCATGTTTATATCAAATTGATATCATCTACTATATGGTCTTTCCTACAGTGGAAAGTTCATGGGATTAGGGGAGCCAGACTGGGGGAGAGTGTCTGATAGTATACTGTGTGTTCTACACCAATAGTAGGTATGCATTAAGGATATATCACATCAAGGGCAGCTAGGTGGTACAGTGGATAGAGCTCTGGCCTTGGATCAGGACTTGAGTTCAAATGTGGCCTCAGACGCTTAACACTTACTAGCTGTGTGACCCTGGGCAAGTCACTTAACCCTGACTGCCTCACCATAGAGCAAAAAAAAAAAAAGGAATATATCACATCAAGATTCCAGGAAATATTCATTATTAATGATGATAATCTTATGGTTAATTTTTATATTGGTGCTTATTTCAAGAGATGGGGACAAAAAGGGGGAAGGAAATTGAGGAGAGGGGTGAGATTAAACATGAGTGAACCAAACTTATGCTCACAAAATTTCAAAGTTTGAAGGGACCTTGGAGGTCATGTAAATCAAACTCATCCTTCAAGGGTGATCTTCTATGAAATGCCATCTGATGTGAAGTCTACATGTGGGAAAGTTATTAGAGTAATTTTGACTGTCACTCAATCAGTGTCATTCATCTAAAAGGCAGTATAACGATTAGGGTACTGCTGTAATGACAAATATTGTCCCTGGAAACAGGATGATGAGATGCATCTCCCTCATTTCTTTCTGTTTGGGGGTGGGTAGCAGAGGGGGTGCTGAGAGTAAAGAATGTTGCATATACTATTAGATATGGTTGCTGCAGAGGCTATCTTTATTGCCTTAAGGATCAGACTGACTATTGGCAAACCTGCTTGGTTCTACAAGGTAGTGCCTCTAATAAAAATTAATTACCTTAGTTATAACAACCTATCATTTGGAGACAGTATAGAGCAGCGAAAAGTGCACTGGATTTACTCAGAGGGATTTGGCTTCCAGCTCAGCCATGACCTGTGATCTCAGACAAATCATTTAAATTCTCTCTACCTCAGTTTGTTCATCTTGAAAAAATTAGAGAATTGGACTAGAGGATATCTGAGTTTCCCTTTGATACCAATCTATGATCTTTGGATCAACCAGTTAGTCTCTGGTCACCTGCAATTTTGTTTTTGAGATCATGCTATGGATATTTTGTAGCCTTTATGGAAGTACCCAGAGAAAAAATGGTATTAAGAAGATGGGCTCTTGCAGCAGAAAGGAGCTTGGGTTCTCTGAAAGCGCAACATGATTTTCAAAATATCATATGACATATTCATGTTATCTTATTCAAATCTAGAACCAGTTCATTATCCATCAGCAGATGAATAACCAGGCAAGTAACTGAACCTGTGCAAGATCTATGTATTGATGGGGTAAACCAGGTGTCAGCTAACTATGGCCTGCGGATGAAATCTGGCCTACTACCTGTTTTTGTACGGCCTATAGGCCATAGTTTGCCATCTTCTGGACTAAACTGAATGATTTGCTCAACCAATAGCATATTATTAGAAAAGCAATATGCATTTTTATGCTTTATATTTTATTTTCTCCGGATGGATTGCTGAGTCAATCTCTCAGACTTCTTCAAGTCTGGTATTATTCTAAATCTACAAGATGAAAATCATCATATCCCATATGTATGAACGAAGGCACCTATGCAAATAAGAGGTCCCAGTTTTGCTTCTAGTTTACCATAGACCCATGTATGTATTCAGATATTGTGTTTTTATGGTGTTGTCACAAGAGAGAATTTCATTCAATGATCCTCTGAGTGCCATTTCTATTCTGCTTCGTATTTTACTTCACACATAGTTTCATTTGATCATTAAAATAACTGTAAGGTGTGTAGTGATGCTTCTAAGATTTTATATCCTAGTGGTGAAATGAAATTTATTTTTTGTACTACAGTTCACACTGAAAAATGTATGTTTTTGTAGCCTACCTCTCCTACAACTCCTAACAAGCCAGTAGTGCCATTGGAGTGGGCATCAGGAGTAATGCCAAAGCCTGACCTGACTATTATTAACAAGCACATAAGAAAGTTGGTCGAGGTAAGTTGATGAGTAACAAAATTCACAATATATTCAAATTCCTTTGACTCCCCTTTCTGTCAGTTTTTAGGAGTAAGAGACTTCCTCAGAACAGGCTACGTCAATTTTCTAGATGCCAAGTCAGACTTCAAAGAGTTGGCTTTCAGACCTTAAGTACTACCATTCTCTTTTATAGTCTCTTCATTTCAACTTCACCCACCCATTCAATCTCCTTTTCCCGCAGCTTCTCTCTACTTTCTGTTTTGAATACCATCTTCTACGTCCAAGTCACTGTCACTGGCCACTAGGTGATAACATTTGGGGCTCCAGAATTCTAGGGTTCTTTGGGGGCTAAGTACAACTTTTAAAAAATCTTCACTAAAGAACATATTCTATAGAAATTTCACTGATCAACTTATCTGTACCAGAAAATGGTTGACAAGTCTCTTAATTCCCATAGGCTGATCGTAAATTATTTGAGGGCAGGGAATGCTGGGTTTTCCTTTAAAAAAAAATCTTTGTCTTGCATCCCTGTGCTTAACACAATGCCTTATACACAAGGCATGGTTCTTAAGTGTTTATTGAATTGAATAGTTTATGCTATTTACATTTGGGGATTATTGCACATAAATGTTGTTTACAAGGAGGAAGAACTTTTAATGCAAGATGAGGTTCTGTACATGTTTACTGTGGTCTGCTGATACCACATTGTTTTCCGACAGCAATAACAGCAACAAGGAAAATGGAGACATCTTTGGAGTTGGAAAACATGATGATAAAGCACTTGGTTTAATTGATTGTCACATACTCTGGAATGATAGGTTAAGTCTTTGGGAAAAAATATACTTTCATAATATATTTTTTAAAATTACAGATAAGGCATTGAATTGTGTACAATCCAAACAAATTGGTGTTGACAGAAAAATATTGGGAAGAAAAAGATTTTTGAGGGCTGTGCAAGGAGAGAATTTTTGATGAGGCCTGCCATTGAGAGGGAGATGAAATGGGTTTGTGGACACAAAATATTTGAATGACAAATACAAAAATTTCACCCTAGAAAATGTCCTTCTACATTTAGTGTGTAAAAGATACAAATGTCAGACTAATTGCAGGCATTTGAAAGTGGATGCTGAATTGTTTTATTATTGAAACTTGAAAAGCTAAATAGGATTTCGTTGAAGTTTTGGTAACTTGTGATAACCCTGGTCTCCAAGGGCAAGCCAGAGAAATGTATAGGTGCATATAGGCAGTAGAACAAATGGTCAATTTAGTTAGTTTCTAAAAGCGCATTTTGAAACACCTCCAGTTTGGGAGGTGAGCTTGCCTCTCAGCTAGCTTTCCTGTTGCCATTGGGTTGGCATTGGTAAACACACATGTTTTTACTTTGCAGTCTGTTTTTAGAAACTATGATCATGACCATGATGGGTATATCTCCCAAGAGGATTTTGAAAGTATTGCCGCCAACTTTCCCTTCTTGGATTCCTTCTGTGTGTTGGACAAAGACCAGTGAGTTGTTCTATTTTTTTTAGTTTTAACTCTGTCCTTCTCCTCCTCACTCCTCAAACGTTTTAGAGACAAGAACAGAGTGTTTCATTCCTAGTTCATTTATTTATAGCTTAAACATAACACCTTAGTGAGAAGACGCAAGCTTATGCATCTGGTTTGCTGCTAGTACTTATGAATCAAGTCTTATCCAAATTATACTGTGTGGGTTTTTTGGTGTGAATATTACATTCAAATTTTGTTATCAAGATGAAGTGGTCAATTTTTATATTATCTGGGCTCAAGACTTCCTGTTTGTTTTCCTCTTGATGAGTTCAGCTATTTCAATGATCACACAACTTTTATCAGAAGAGCATTGAAGTGAAATTCAGATAGGCCAAAATAGGAGCAATGGTGAAGGATGAATCACAATCATAATCACCAAATATGTGATACTTTGGGCTAATTTCTAGAATATAACTACTCAGGTTCTATCTGCCCTTCATAATCATAGATGGCCAAGAAATAGTGATTGGCTTTCTCAGGAATAAAACGGAATTATCATATTTTCAAATGATTTTTGAGAAATGAAATAACTCCAAAGATGCTGTGGGGTTAGAGAACCATTTCTACTGGAGAAATATCCAGTATATATTACAATACAACCCCCTCAACAATTTTCCTAGTGTAAAAATTTTCAAAAACATAATTTGGAATTTGGTGAGTAGCTAGGTGGCATAGTGGATAGAGCGCTGGCCCTTGGAGTTAGGAAGACCTGAGTCAAAATCTGGCCTCAGACACTAACTTGCTGTGTGACCCAGAGCAAGTCGCTTAGTCCCGTTTGCTTCAGTTTCTTCATCTGTAAAATGAGCTGGAGAAGGAAATGGCAAACTACTCTAGTATCTCTATAGAGAAAACCCCAAATGGGGTCACAAAGAGTCATACAGGGCTAATCAACTAAACAACAACAATTTGGAATGTATTTGACGTCCCAAAGAAAAGTCTTGACATTTTATCATGAGTGTATCTTAATTAAACCTCAAATTCATCATTTGATATTTGAAGTATAGAACAACTCATTTGATAGAAGGAAATATTAAATATTAAAATGAATAGTAAAGAAAACTACTTCATAGAGTATGACTGCTTGGTTCATTAAGTACTTCACAGAACATCAATGCTTGATTCATTATTTGCTTTGAAATGCAGTAGAAATAACTTTCTCTACTTCTTCCTTCCCTGGATGGAATAGAGAACATCCCATCAGGTGTGGAGAAAATCTCCATCGCCATAGATGCCAGATAAGAGAGTTAGCAAAGCAGTGTCCTTGACTTGAGAGCCAAAGTGGAATACTTAATGGTCTGCCAAATTCTTCATCACTTCCATCCCTCAGTCTCCTCACCTACTGCTCAAAATTGTGCCTTAAGTGCAATTCCTTACTTTTCCCCCTTATCCAGTGGGATTCCTCAGGTGGAACCTCAAACTCCAGCATTTTGGATGGCCCAGGACCAGAACACATCTATGAAGTGATAGCTGCCTCCAGAGGCTTCAGTCTAAGCCTGAAAGATAGAACATCATTTTCAGAGCTGCCTAACCCACCTTGACTGGAATAGCTCCTGACAAAATACCACAGAAAGACAAGTCAATGAGTTCTTGTTGACTTGACTTGCCAAAGAAAGTGAGAATCTCTCTGGGGAAATGGAGCCACACTGCCTCTGTGGATTTCCAGGTTGAAAGCCCAAACAAGTGTCGTTATCTTTATGCTCGCTCAGTTCCCCTAGAGAACTAAGTTCATTACGTATATTAGCATGAATATTAGTTCCAGAAATCATTTTGTTCTTGTGAAGATAGTTTGAATGGTAGACTACTTTTTAATTTTGAAAGGCTAAAAACAACAATGGATTATTAGGATATTTTAAACATACTAACCTTAAATATATTAAAGTTCATAAAAAGACTTGATTACATCGATCTTTAATGTCAGAAATCAACCAACTGAATTCTGAATTTCATTGGGTATTATTACTTTATATATATATATATACATATATATATATATGTATATATATATATATATACAATATATATATATATACACATATATATATACATACATACATACCTACTCAAAATTCAAACATAAATCAAGTTATAGTCATAAAAAGCTTAAACTTTGTAGGAATGAAAGCCAATAGCACATTTTCATGTGATCATACTAATTCAACTAAATGCAAGAAACATTTATTAAGTATCTCCTTTGTGCAAAGCATTATATTAGATTCTAGGGATACTCTCCAGAGCTCAAAAATAGATTTGAGAGTTATCTTTATACAAGTGAAAGGTAAAACCGTGACAATAGATGAATTCTCTAAGGAGAAATGACGTAGAGCAAGAAGAAAAGAGTCCTGGAAATGAATTTCTTGCACTTATAGGATAGGATGAAGAAATAAGATAAGAAGTGTGTGCAGGATGATTCAAGACATAGGAACATAACTAGGACAGTTTGGTATTGCAGAAGTTGTGTGTGAGAGAGATTCAAGAACTTGTGTGTCGGTCAATGGGATCGCATGCTGAGAAGTGAAAAAGGATGAGGATTCAGATAAGACCACTAGTTTGATAAGTAATAAGTAATTTGTGACCTGTAATGACTGTTTTGGTTAAGTTGTGTGGTCAGAAGTCAGACTGAAAGCTATTTACTGGTGTCAGTTGATGAGGAAATAAAGATAATAGAACATTAGCCTTTGAAAGATTTGATAGTGAAAGGAAGAAGAGATAAACTGGCAGCTACCCAAGGGTGTTGTGAAGTTCAAATAGGATGATAGGTATAAAAAGGACTTTGCAGATCCTAAGACTCTATATAATTCTAGTTATCATCATCATTATCAGCAGCAGCAGCAACAGCAGCAGCAGCAGCTTCTAGTCACCAGGTCTCCAGTCTGGTGATGATTTCATTTCATTTTCTGAGCCTTCTATTGTACTTATGCTTATAGAACAATACAGGGGTAAGTTGGTGTTAAAATTGGACTTTTGAGAAAAACAAAATATATGCTATATATATGTATATATGTATAAGTTTAATATGCATAATTAAAACTTTCTCAAATCTAGTCATAACCCCCTCAATAAATCAAGCTTTCGCTCATAGTGTTTGCCAATTTCTGAGCTCTAAATGCGCATGCTGAAAATTTAACAATTGAGTTTTCAAGCTGAATAGAGCTGGCTAGGAAGCTAGGTGGTACAGTGGATAGAACACTGGGTGTTAGATTAGGACAGATCTGAGTTCAAATCCAACTTCAGACACATACTAGCTATGTGGATCTAGGCAAGTCACCTAACTTTTGCTTGCCTTATTTTCAACACTAAAATGAGCATAATAATAATAGCACCTACCTCCTGGGATTGTTGGGACAATATTTGTAAAGCACTTAATACAGTGCCTGGCACCTAGTAGGTGCTTAATAAATGGTTGTTTCCTTCCTTTCAGCAGACCCTTGGTTGTGACAGTCAGAAGCCATGTGAAAAGGGATTGAACAGTAATCAGTTGATGAGGAAATGGAGGCAGGGATTAATTTTCCTTTGGGAGATTTGTCAGTGAAAGGAAGAAGAGAAAAGCAAGCAGCAACAGTTAAAGAAAAGGATGAAGGGCAGGTTGTTCTAAGAGTAGAGGAGATATTTAATCAGACAGAGCAAAGTTGGTGGAGAGATGCATAAGGAATGGGACTGATTGAACAAGGTCTCTGTAGGAGCAGATGGAAAGGCATGGAATCAAAAGGACAGGCAGATTGATTAGTCCTGAATAGGAAAACTGATAACTGGAAAGGAGAAAAGGATGAGAAATATAAAAATATTAAGGAAGATGTGGCTAGAGAGATACCATGTAGCAGAGAAGAGGGAAATGAGGCAGTTTACTCTGTAACCTTTTCTTCAGTAAACTGCGGGCAAATTTGTCTTGCTAAGAGGAGAGCAAGGGAGACACTAGGCCTTGGGAGTTACATGAAGAAGGTATGAATGGCTTGCAACAGCATCTGGGACCCGTGTAGAGGAAGCAATAGTAAGTCAATTATGAATAAAGCTTTCAAAGAGTAGGGTGAAATAAAATTGGATAAATGTGAAGTGGACTCATCAGCTTGTTTGTTTTCTTCATGATTCCAACTACCCTGAGTCCCACAAGGAAATAAAGCTGTGGGAAGCCAGGAACCCTACACAGGTGGTACAACTGTTCAGAACTGGAAATGAGTTTTGCATTTGCTGTACAAACATGTACACACACAAAGTGACATGTATGGACACCTCCTCATATCTTTGTGAGTCACTGCCCTCTCTCCGGCTTTTTTCTGGGTGTGAATCTGCTCCCAACTGTTCCACTCACCAGGTGCAGGAAGGAAATGAATGGAAATATGGCACCAGAGTGGAACAAAGGTGAAGACTTAAATTGTTAATATTATATTAATAGGATTCCTCCCTTCTGTAATTCTCTTAACAGGGATGGCCTAATTAGTAAGGATGAAATGATGGCTTATTTCCTGAGAGCTAAATCTCAACTCCAGTGTAAAATGGGACCAGGATTTGTCCACAATTTTCAAGAGGTGACCTATCTCAAGCCAACTTTCTGTGAACATTGTGCAGGATTTGTAAGTTTGTTTTTTTAAATTTATTCTGTTTTTCTGTTTATGTCTGTATTTTGTCTCTCTACCTGTTCCTCACTCCATCTCTGTTTCTGTATCTCATTTTTGTAGTAATTTGCTTTGCAGCCTGGGGAAAACAGAAAAACATTATTTTAAAATATTTTGAAATATGCATTTTAAAATTAAAAATTTTAAGTTGTTAGACTTGGCAAGAGTGTAATTCATTTTGAAACACGTTTTAAATTTAAAAATTTTAAGTTGTTAGACTTGGCAAGTGTGTAATTCATTTTGAGACATACATTTTAAATTTAAAAATTTTAAGTTGTTAGACTTGGCAAGAGTGTAATTCATCAATAACTTAGTGACTAAAGCAAGATCATATGGTTTAGATGTGTGCTTCTGAAATATGTAGCTCACAAAAGCAGGTCAGGTATATGAGGTCTGCCCACAAAAGCAGGATGGTTTGTCTAAAAATCTTAATTTTAGAGACATGAACAAGCTGAACAAATACACAGACATTGCTATTATCTGTGTTGTTATCTACTTTGTGTAGTCCCATACTGCCAGTCTTTTAGAATTCAACTTGAATCAATGCAAAGATCACTAGTTCAAAGTTGCTTTAAATTTAAAAAGGGGAAAAAATTGTTTTTTGAGGTAAGTAGTAAAACTTAATGAAAATAGTGCATACTTTGCTGTTCTTATATTTTGAAAATCCTTTATGAGCTAATAGGCTAATGAGAAAATGAAGCCAAACTTTTGATTTCTCCATATTTTTTTTTGGTGGGGTGATAATGGGGTTCTAATCATGTGCTGCCATTGGTCCAGAGAATTTCTATTGTAGAAACTCCCTTCACTGATGAGGAACAACTCATTTATAGTAGCCTTAGAGAGTTGCCTTAGCTACTGAAAGATTGAAATGACTTGCTCACAGTCACATGGTCAGTAGATATAAGAAGCAGGACTAGAACTTACTTCTTCCTGACTCTAAGGCCAGCTATCCATCCAATATAACATACTATCTCCCAGCTACCTTATTATGTTCAAAGACAAAGGAATCCCACTTGCTCATCATTGGTTAATTGACAGATATGGGAGAATACTCCATGCAAAGAGAAAAATGGGAAAGAAATTATAGTGATACTGAAAATAAATTTGATCTTGTAGAATAAATGGATAAATCATTCACAGAATGTGAAATCTGAAAGGGTCTTATAAAGTCTTGTCATCTAAGTCCTTCATTTTATAGAGCAGGTAAATGAGGCTCTTAAAAGTGAAGTCTATGTCACATGAGTAGGTAGATAAGGATTTGATTCCTCCTTCTGATACTGCCTAGCATCACAAGCACTTAATAAATGTTTATTGATTGATTGAAGTCACTTATCTGGGCTTTGGCTTTCTCTTCTGTATTTTAAGCGAATTGGACTCAGTGATCTCTGTGGTTTCAGCCAATTTTAAACCCAGTCTGAGTCTAGAACACAGGTCTTGTGACTGACTCCCAATCTCATGCAATCACATTATGTTGCCACAATAACTTTAGCACACTGGACTCTGTCCATAATTGCCTACAAATAAGGTTACCTTTGTGTTAGTAAAACCATTATTGATTTTAATAATGGATATCATCATGCCCATTTAATGTAAAAAGAAATTGATGTCTAAGTAAGTTATTTGCCTTTATATGCACAGCAAATAAGTGGCAAAGACAGGAGTACAAAGACCCTCATATCTTTCTGAATCTTTTCTTGCCCAGTGCTCCCTCCATTGTATGACATTACTTCCCCTACATATAAATAGGTATATAATAACTGGAAAAAAGGATACTCTCATATATTCAACAATTGAACAAGCTCTTACTAGGTTCCTAATATGTGCCAATGGGTCACCTAGGTGGTGCAGTGGATAGAGTGCCAGGCCTGCAGTCAGGAAGGCTCATCTCCCTGAGTTCAAATCTGGCCTCAGACACTTAATATCTGTGTGACCCTGGGCAAGTCATTTAACTCTGTTTGCCTCATTTCCCTCACCTGTAAAATGAGCTGGAGAAGGAAATGACAAACCACTCTTTGCCAAGAAAACCTCAAATGAGGTCATGAAAAGTTGGATATGACTAAAAATTACTGAACAATAACAACTACAATAATAACAATATGTGCCAAGCAAGATGCGGGGCCCTGGGGATACAAATACAAAAGTGAGACAATCACTGCCTGCAAGGAGCTTCCATTCTGCTTTGGAGCTGGTGAACAAAATCTAGACAGATAAGTGAATACAAAATAAATGAAAAGTGATAAAGTACCAACAATTAGGAAAAGTAGCTCCCAAAGCATGTGCTGTTGTATTGTCCTGAAGTTTAGTCAGAAGGGAGCTGAGTAGAGCTGGTTTCTATATGAAGGCCTTTATTATTTCAAAAGGTTTTGTTTCTGCTACCAAGGCATTCATTCTCTTTCTCTCCCTGTTAGTTGATCTTTATTATTATTGTTTTCAAGTCATTTTTCAGTCCTGTCTGAGTCTTTGTGACCCTATTTGGGGTTTGGCAAAGGTACTGGAGTGGTTTTGCCATTTCCTTCTCCAGCTTATATTACAGGTGAGGAAATTGAGGAAAACTGGTTTAAGTACCTTGCCCAAGGTCATACAGCTAATAAGGGCCTGCATACAGATTTGAACTCAGGTCCTCCTGACTGTAGGCCCCGTGTTCTAACCACCGTGTCATGCTCACTGTGTTCTAGCTGAACTGTTTCTCCTATATGACATTCCATCTGCCACTCCAGGCCTTTGAACAAATCGCCCTCCATGTCTAGAATATTCTTCCTTTCTTACCTCAGCCTCTTGGAATTCCTAGCTCCCATAAATATTCAGCTGAAATACCTCTTCCTACATAAGATATTTTCTGATCCACTAAATTGTTAGGATTTTCCCCTCTTCTCATTATTTGCATTCCCCTTGTTTATTATATATTCTATGTTTTAAAAATGTACGTGTGATTCCTCCCAGTAGAATGAAAGGGCAGAGACTATTTTGTTTTTTATCTTTTTTTTCCCAACACTTGCACAAAGCCTGGCCTACAGTAGTTAAATAAATGCTTGTTAAAAATTGATTTCTGGGGCAGCTAGGTGGCGCAGTGGATAGAGCACCAGCCTTGGATTCAGGAGGATCTGAGTTCAAACCCAGCCTCAGTCACACAACATATACTAGCTGTGTGACCTTGGGCAAAGTCACTTAACCCCATTGCTCAGCTAAAAAAATTAAAAAAAAATAAAAAAAATAATAAAAAATGAAAGTTGATTTCTATATAATATAGGAACTTAAGGCTCAGAGAGATCAAATGATTGTTCATATACCCAGAGAGAGCAAGTAATAGGCCTGGGACTCAAACAATTCAAGTCTGACTAATAAAAATAGCTAGCACTCACGTAGCATTTTTAAGTTGGTAAACAGCTTTACAAATGTCTCACTTCATCCTCATGGCCACCTTCAGAGGTAGATACTGTTATTATCCCCACTTTACAGATGAGGAAAGTGAGGTTAAAGGACTTGCCTTGAGTCTCACAGCTAGTAAGTGTCAGGGGTTAGATTTAAACTCAAGACTTCCTAACTCTAGGTCAAGTGCTGGCTGTTTCTGCTACTCCAGCTACCTATCTCCTTTTGACTCCAAGTCTGCTGTTCTTTCCTCAGCCCTTTTAATCATTTGGGGCAAATGGTTCAGCATAGGAGTGAGTGTGGTAGAGAGGAAAGAGTGCTGAGCTCACTGCTGACCTTGGAATCCTGGGACCTGAATGCGAATGTCAATTCAACTTCTTACTTCCTCTGTGACCTTGAACAAACAGGGCATTCAGGCTCTCTGGACCTTAATTTTGTCATCGGTAAAATGAGTTGGACTAGACACTAGATGATCTCTGAGGCCCCTTCCAACTCCAAATCCATGATTCTGTGACTGACTCATAGAGTCCTTTTTGGGTGAATGATATGGATGGACAAGGTAGACACATAGAACCCAAGTTCACTCAAGCACTGTTTATGTGTTTCAATTCATCAGCACTACCTGGAGCTACGATACTGATGGAAAATAGACCCCCTCCCTCCCTGCCCCAAATCAGTGCTGAATATGCCAAATGATCAAGTGTTAGAGATAAATGCAAATGGAGGAAATGAAGGAGTAGCTTCACATCTACAAAATGAGGAGTTAGATTAGATCATCTCTAGACCCTGTTCTAGCTATGCATACTAGAACCCTAGGATCTTCTTTTCCCCTAGATTCTCTCCTTCATGCTAGGACAAAGAGGGAGACCCCACTATTCGTTCTGTTCTTGATAGGGGAAATAGGAATGCCTCAGGCTCTCAGAGGGCACCTACAAGGGCTGAGATAGGATAGTGCTGACTGTCAACAGAATGCCAAGCACAAAGTGGTTCAAGTTGGTCCTAAATATAGAATAATGTTTTCCAAGCAGGCTCTATATTTAGAAAGTCATATGTCTTGAGCATGGGTTTGCCTTGATGCTGAGTTATAGGCAAGTGCTTTTGTTTTGAGTCTAAGGCTGAAAATGAAGGCCATTGGGTAATGAAAGCAAACTGGGTAATGAAAGTAAACTGTGCCCTGCATATTGTTAAGTAGGTCCAGGCTCCGGTAAAATCAGGAAGTAAGACTAATTCAAGTATCTTTTGATAGGAAGAGCACTGAGCTTTGAGTCAGGTGGCCTGTGTTCTGGTTGTGGCTCTGCCACCAACTTGCTGGCCAGTTTGCCCTGTCTCTCTGGGCCTCACTTTCTTCATTAATAAAATGATAAAATTCACTTATAAAATTGAGCTATATGGAACCCAAATTACCTTTCAGTCCTAACACCAATAATTCTACAATTTCTGAGTGCTGAAAAAGCTTTCATGGGCCAAAGGAGTGAATTTCTAATGATGGAATATTAGGTGGTGTGTAAGATCGCTTTGAGAAAAGGCTTTTCTAATGCTCTACAAATTATACTGTTAAAATAATTGGTTAAACTTATCTTTGGGGGTAAAAT